TTTCGAGATATGTCTTCAAATAATAACTTGTAAATGTGGGACATGGTGGAGGAATGCTGTTGGACAGCAGGCAGCTTTGCATAGCAGAAAGCAAGCTAGAGACAGTAGCACTCCATTTAGAAGTACAACTTTTGTAAAAAAAAAAAAAGTATTCTTAAGGCTAGTGCTTGCATGAAAAAAAATACAGATAAACATTGCGTAGGAAATAACATAGTGGCAGGAAAGCCTGAGTTAGTATATCTATCTACAGTCAAAAGCTGTGGTATGCTTTCTTCCATTATGAAGCAAATCAATAAAAAGCTGAACTGTGACAAAAGAGAAAGAGAGCTGAACTGAGAAAGGAAGGAGAGAGATAAAAGGAAGGAGAGAGATAAAAGAGAAATAAAAGAGACAAAAAATCAATCTAATCAACAGGATTCATATTAGAAACTGAAAAATAAGATTACAAAAGAACGAGAGATAAAATTATGGGGTCCCTCTGCCAACATATCTATATTTATTGCTTCTAGTGGCCAATGGTTTATAAGTTCAGAAAGCCAGCATATATAAAGATGAATTTACACTGGGGAGTCATCTTTCATTGAGCAATGCCTTCCGAGTTGGATTTGCTTTTGCCAGGTTGCTGTAGGGCTCATCATGGTTGCTTAGGAGATAAAGGTAGACTTCAACGTACAGCCATTTTTGAAGTCACAATGACACTGAAAAAATGACTTACAACTGGCCATTACAGTTATAACTGTCACAGCATCGCCAAATCACAGGATTAACATTTGTGCATTTGCCAATTGGCGTGTATTTACAACAGTTGCAACATACTGGGGTCATGTGATTACCTTTTTAACCTTCCCACCATTTGCAAGCAATCAGGGGGAGCCAAAGTTGCTTAACAACTACTTGATTCATTTAACAACTGCAGTGATTTGCTTAACCATGGCAAAATAAATTGAGCATGACTTACTTAACAACTGCATTACTTCATATAGGAAATTCTGGTCCCAATTGTGATCATAAGTCAAGGACAACTTGTACAAAAAGACTTACATTGATAGAAGCTTATCTTCTTACCTTCTCTGGGTTTGCAGCTGGTTTTCTTCTGCCTTTGCCTTCCCCTTCCAGAGTAACTTTTATCCTTCCTTCATTACTCACCTATTTATTTATTTTTTTCCTACTATTCCTGTTGGAAGGAGAGAGAAGAAAGGAAGGTGCTTAACCCAGGCCACAGCAGGCAGAAGAGGCAGATCAATTAAAAAGGAGACAGTGCCATTCCCAGCAACCATTTCATCAACTTCTCCCAGAAAATCTGCAATTATCTTTCTTAAATTCATATCATTATGCTGCAGCTATCGACATATTGGTTTCAATAGCTGACTTCAGATTGTGGTATTTTATAGAATCCATAGAATCCATTTTTATGGATTCTTCTTAATGGGATAGTAAATTGAAGTTGGCTTCAAGCATTACAACATTATGTGTTTCTTTTCAATATTGGCTGCTGAGATTAACAAAACTAGAGGATCTTCAGATATTCCCTCTGAATGACTTTGGGTACATCAATTCAACAGCATAAACAAAGAAAAAAAAAAGAATCCGTAGAATAGAGTTAGTAGGGACATTTGAGTTCTAAAGTTATATTTCTTTTGACATGCCCTATTTCATCCATTTTGAGACTAAGTAGAGGGAAGAAAAATTAGTTATATGATACAGTTGTTCCAAGAACCACAGAACATGACCAAAAAACCCCTGAATTGTTTGGCTTAATCGAACCACTGTTCTTGTTACATTCTTTTTGACTTGTTCTTTTTCCAGCAGTGATAATTTCAGCTTCATAGCAAAGATTCATATTGGTGCTCTCAAACCGCATATCAGTATTCTCAATACTGCCATTGCAAAATAAGTGGCATTTAAAGACCAGTTGTTCTGACTGCAATATTAATGTTAATATTCAATCAATGTTTCATTTCCTTATAAATAATTTAAATGATTCCATTGGGAATATCAGACTCTCCTGGCACACACATGTATATTTCTTTCTTCCTGGCAATATATTACATGAGCAGGGCCTATGTGTGAGAGGTCACCTTGATGGTATCTCGCTTCTGCCAGCCAGTAAATCCAACACTATGGAAGGAATGACAGTTAAGCCTATAGCTTTCCCATTGACTCTGACAGGTTATTTTGACTTCTAGAAACATTATTGAGCTGGTAGACATTCTGAGTATCAAAAGAGAAAGTAAAAAGCTGGAGAGATGAATTCAAAATTGAAAAAAGAAAATCTACAGCAGCCTGTTGCAAGCAAGGAAATTAAAAAAGAAGCATAAGCTCTAAGATTCCATCAGTCCAACAAAATCCCTTTTTATTCAAGGCAGATTTCAAACTATTGACCCTAGACATCAGGTGTCAAACTGTCTATAAATTGCTGAAATGTTCTTGTGTTGGAAAGGTAGCTATTTTATGTTTAGAAATTAAATAAAGGTTGTTGGTAGGGGGGGAGTGTTCTAGGCCAGCGGTTGCCAACTGGTGACCACTGCAAACCACTAGTGGGCTGTGAAAAAATTTTGGTGGGCCACAGAAAAATCTCACCCCCAGAGCACCCCCACAAAGCAATTAATCCAGGCTGTGCAGAAACACAAGACTGCTCAGCCCACATGACCCGTGGGAACCCTCCTTGCCCACTCTCTCCTTACCCTGCAAACTTGTCTGCTAAATTGCTATTTTTCCTTTTTCTGACCATCATCTGTTCTGCTGTGCTGGGAGATTTAGATTAGCTAGGAAGCAGGAAATGGTTAGATTTCTTGCTTTCTAGCTAGTCTTTAGATCTTCGGCTCAGCACAGCTGACCTCCCTGAGGACTGAAGGTTTGCTTGCAAGCAAATTCAGTGCAGACTCACAGCAAGCAAATTTGAGAGACTGAGCTAGCCAATGGCAGATAGATAGATCTCTGAATGAATCTGTGATTCTGTGAGCAACTCAATATGCCTGCTTTGCCTGATTTTGGGTAAAAGTTGCTCTTTTTTAAAAAAAAATTAATATTTATATAAATATTTATAATATTTACATACAAGCCATGCCCAGCCAGTCACATGACCACCAACCAACACCCACAAATTAGGCCATGCCCACAGAACCGGTTAGTAGTCCCTGGGAGCTAAAATTATGAGTTTGGTGGTCCCTGAGGTCCAAAAGGTTAATGATCCCTGTTCTAGGCAGATAGTGGGAAGTATTTGATACCTGCCATTCCAATACACAAGTTCTGCTTTCGGAAAGGAGGAGGGAGGGGAGAAAAAAAAGAATAATATGCTGAATGAAAATTGACACATTTAATTGCTAGGAGTTTGAAGATTAATTCCTCTGTCTGTGCTAGACCTGTTTACAGTGTCAGTTTTCCAGTGATTAAAAAGACCATAATTCAACATGGGATTCTGTTACAAAGTCAAAGGTCCAATTAAAATTAAATGTGATTTTAAAAGCTTCTGAATAATAAAATCTTAATGCTTCACCTTCATTTTCTTACAGGAAAAAAAAACATAGTATAAATAAGAATTAGAGAGTGTTATTCAATAAGCCTCTTGAGTGGCAGTGATAATAGCAGAAAGGAATATTTTCCCATTTCCTCTCTCTCTCTCTCTCTCTCTCTCTCCCCCCCCCCCCCCCCCCCCCCCCCCTCTCTCTCTCTCTCCTCCCTTCTTCCCTCTCCTTCTCATCTTTCTATCTGTTTATCTCAGAGATGTGCATTCAGCATAATCCTTAGGTCATAGCTGGCTGAAATTTAGGAAATATTTCTGTCTACTTTTTGAAAAGCAATATTACTTGCAGACATTGTACAAAAAAATCAATTGTTTAGAAAATGTACTTTAGGAAATCTCTGAGATGGCTGAGCATCTTCAGCCTTCTTATTTTAAAATGTATTCTGTATGATTGTGGTGACATCAGTCTCCTTTTAAAGAAATTTTAATAACTCTTCTTAAAATTCTTCCATGATCACACATTTCATGGTTCCATAACCAATCCTTGAAGTACTTCTGAAGAGGGAGATTGTGTTAGGAAAGACCCACATTCCCAAGTGCAATTCATAATGCACTAACACTGGATTACCCAAGAGTCTCTGTTTCTGGTTCTTTTGGAAATATCCCCATACATGATTTTTCTGTGGGAAGAATCCCACAGCCTTGTAAAAGCATAGGACACAAGAGTATATTTTACAATTAAAAAAGAAAGTTTGAAAATATATTTTATGCCTCATATTTAAAATAGTGCAATTCTTCCATTTTCTAAAGTATTTTTTGTATTTTTTTTACTGCTTTTAAAATACTGACAAAAAAAGAAACAAGGAAAAAAACACAAGATAAAAATGCATACATTAGCAAACAAAAGAAAAAAACCCATTTGAGAATATAACAATATAACAAAGAAAAAAGTATATCATTTTAGAAGTAAATGATTACAATTTTACATATAGTTTAATGCAATTATTATTGGTATATTTTTATTATTATTATTATTTCTAATAAATTTATATAATTTTTAACCTACTGTGTTTTGAATAAATCAGTCTTACATTTTATTATATTTCTGTCTACAGACTATCTGCTATAGGCAATCCACTGATAGGTGGCAATACAATCAGTAAAAGAATAGAATAGAATAGAACAAAACAGAATAGAATAGAATAGAATAGAACAAAACAGAATAGAATAGAATAGAATAGAATAGAATAGAATAGAATAGAATAGAATAGAATAGAATTCTTTATTGGCCAAGTGTGATTGGACACACAAGGAATTTGTCTTGGTGCAAATGCCCTCAGTGTACATAAAAGAAAAGATACATTCATGAAGAGTCAAGAATCATAAGGTACAATGCTGAATAATAGTCATAGGGTACAATAAGCAATCAAGTCATACTAGGGAACATAAAGTATAGATCGTAAGGATACAAGCGACAAAGTTACAGTCATACAGTCACAAGTGGGAGGGGATGGCTGATAAGGAGTGATGAGAAGGTTAATAGTAATAGTAGTGCAGATTTTGTAAATAGTTGGAGAGTGTGGAGGGAATTATTTGTTTGGCAGAATGATGGGATTCGGGAAAAAATTGTCTTTGTGTCTACTTTTTCTGGTGTGCTGTGCTCTATAGCATTGTTTTGAGGGTAGGAGTTGAAACAGTTTATATCCTAGATGTGAAGGGTCTGTAAATATTTTCACAGCCTTCTTTTTGACTTGTACAGTATACAGGTCCTCAATTGAAGGCAGGTTGGTAGTAATTGTTTTTTTCTGCAGTCCTAATTACTTTCTGGAGTCTGTGTCTGTCTTGTTGGGTTGCAGAACCAAACCAGACAGTTATAAAAGTGCAGATGACAGACTCAATAATTCCTCTGTAGAACTGTATCAGCAGCTTCTTGGGCAGTTTGAGCTTTCTTTTTTATATATATAAAATTTTATTGGTTTTTAAAAACAAACATAAACAAACAAAACATAAAAACATCAAGCTATCTTCCATATGTGTACATACAGTGTGCCAGTTGGTTTACAAATTGTTTTGTGCTTCCATTTCGTAGTCTTCAATTACAATTACATTACATATAATCTCATATTTTTAATCAAAAATTAAATACCTTAGTATCATTATTAATCAATCATTTGATTATACTTTTATTCATTCATGTTTTACAAGACAATCATAATTTACTTAGTTTATTTTATAACAGTTCATATTATCATCCCAAATCTATCCTAAAATCATTTTGTAGATATAATAAGAAAGAAGTACATCTTTATATATATTTATTATTTTCTAAAAGTCTACATATTTCATTACTGTATTTTATTGTCTAACCATTGATAGAAAAGATCCCAAATTTTATAAAATTGTTTATCTTCTTGTTCTCTAATTTCAAATGCCAATCTACTCATTTCAGCACATTCCAATATTTTCTTAATGATTTCCTCCTGTGATGGTATTTTCTCATTTTTCCAGTTTTTAGCAAATACAATCCTAGCCGCTGTTAATACATTTACAATCAGGTATTTCAAGTCTTTACTATATATTTCAGGTAAAATTCCCATTAAAAATATCTCTGGTTTCAAGTCTATATGTTTTTTTGTCATTTTTTCCAACCACATGTGGATTTTAGTCCAGTATTTTTTAGCATCTGCACAAGTCCACCACATATGGTAATATGAGCCAGGTGTCTGATGACATTTCCAACATTTTTCGGATTTATTCTTGAACATTCTTGCTATTCTTGTCGGGGGGAAATGCCACCCGTAAAACATCTTATACAAATTTTCTTTATATGCTGTTGACATTGTCATTTTATAATTTTGAGACCACAATTTTCGCCATTTCTCTAGATCAATCCCATATCCAAAATTTTTCCCCCAAGCAATCAGTTTCTTTAACTTGTTCTTCTTCTAGTTTAATTTCTAATAAATATCCATACAATTTTTTAATCACCTTTTCATCAGTACCTGTCAAAATCTTATCTAAATCAGTCAATTTATCATAGAAACCTTCCATTTTAGAATCTTTATCATGCCTTGAATGTATTTGTACATATGAAAACCAATTCATCTTTATACCTTGTTCCTCTAGTTTTTGTATAGATTTGAGTGTACCCTTTTCATTCAATATTTCACCATATCTAACTGTTTTTTCCTTTTTGTATATTATAGGATAAGAAAATGGTTCAATAGTCGATAAACAGACTGGAATTTTCAAATAACATTGTCTTTTAATCTTCTCCCAGTTTAACCACAGAGACTCCCGTATATAATGTCTTCTAAAATACCCCTATGTTTTAGTTCCTTTATACCATAAAAAAGCATGCCACCCCAACAACAAATCATGTCCTTCTAATGGCAACAATCTAGTATTTCTTAGTGTTATCCATTCCTTAACCCACATCAGATTTGTAGCTTGATAGTACAACTCCCAATTAGGCAAACCAAATCCTCCTCTAATTCTAGCATCTTGCAAAAGTTTCAACTTTATTCTCGTTTTCTTACCTTGCCATATATATTTCAACACAATTTTATTTAGATCTTCAAAGTAATCTTTTTCAAGCCTAATTGGAATTGTTTGAAACAAATATAAAATTCTGGGTAATATATTCATATTGATTGTTGAAATTCTCCCTATTAGTGACAGTTGTAAATTTTCCCATTTCGCCAGATCTAGCACTATCTGCTGTTTGAGTTTGATATAGTTATTCTCTTTTAATGTACTACATCTTGCTGTCAAATATATCACCAAGTACTTGATCTTATTCGTGACCTGAATTTCCAATAGGTCTGCCAGTTCTTCCTTTTGTCTTAATAGCATATTCTTTGTCAAGATCTTTGTCTTATCTTTATTTATTTTCAAACCAGCCACTTTTCCATATGTCTCTTTCTTTTCTATCAATTTTGATGCTGTTTCTAAAGGGTCTTCTAAGATAAAAACCAGATCATCTGCAAATGCTTGCAGCTTAAATTCTTCCCTTTTAATTTTCATCCCTTTTATATTCTTTTCATCTCTAATATTTCTATTTAGCACTTCCAAAGTTAACACAAACAACAAAGATGATAGTGGGCACCCCTGTCTTGTTCCTTTTCTTATATTGATAGTGTCTGTCAGTTCTCCCTCTATCATTACCTTTGCCGTTTGCTTATAGTATATAGCTTCTATTGCTTGAACAAATTTTCTAGCAAAACCCATCTGTTCCAACAGTAATAACATGAATCGCCAATTCACATTATCAAATGCCTTCTGTGCAACTACAAATATCAGAGCCATTTGTTTTTCAGGATGTGCCTCGTAGTATTCCAAGGTGTCCAAGATTACTCTCATATTGTCTTTAATTTGTCTCTTTGGCAGAAATCCATTTTGATCAGGATGAATAAAATTATTTAAATATTTTTTAAGTCTTTCTGCCAATATTGAAGCAAAAATTTTATAACCTGCATTTTGTAGAGAAGTGGGTCTATAGTTCTTAATTTGTAATGGATCGGCCTCCTCTTTTGGAATAAGTGTAATATAGGCTTCTGACCATGATTTAGGTATCTTCTTCTTTAACATAACTTCATTTATAACTTCTAGCAATGGAAGATTCAACGATTCTTGTAATGTTTTATAAAATTCTGCCGGAAGTCCATCTGGGCCTGGTGCCTTTCCATTATTTTGCTTCTTGAGTGCTTCAGTTAACTCTATCATCGTTATATTGCTTTCTAACATTGTTTCAGTCTCTTTAGGTTTCTGAGGTAAATTAGCATTCTGTAAGTACTGTTTAACTCTTTCCTCATCAATATTCTCTTGCATATATAATTTCCCATAGAAGTCTCGAATGATTTCCTTCTTCTCTTTACTACCATAGCAAACTTGGCCTTAATCATCTATTAATTGCAATATTTTCCTTGATTCTTTCTCCTTTCTCAATTTGTATGCTAACCATCTACCCGGTTTGTTTGCGTCTTCAAAGTAGTTCTGTTTAGCACCTCTAATTTTTTGTGCTAATTCTTCTTTTTCTATTTGACCCATTTTATGTTTAATTATATCCATTTTTAGCTTGATGTCCTTTTTCTGTGGCATTTTCTGTAGCTCTTTTTCAAGTCCTTTATGCTCATCCTCTAAGGCCTTAGAGGCTAGTCTTTTCATAGTATTCCTTTTCCTTGTATTGTCTATTATCAAGCCTCTAACATATGCCTTCATTGTATCCCATACATTCTGAATTGATGTATCTTCTTTTTTTGTTTTTTTCTAAAGAAAAAAGCCAATTCTTTCTCCATCCACTGTGTGAAGTCTTTTTCCTTTAAAATAGTATTATTTAACGTCCATCTAGATCTTCTTTTTTGTCCTTTCCATTTAATTGTCATTGGATTGTGATCTGCCCAAGTACTTGTTTCAATATTTATTTCTTGAATATTAGTTATTAGTCATTTCTGGGCCATGATAAGTGTCTATTTGAGTAGAAGGTATATTGTTTAGTTTTAGCATTTCTTTCTCTCCATGTATCTTTTAAGTTTATTTCATCTACCATTTAAAAAAAAGATTTAGGGAGGGTCTTTCTGTTTTGCTTTATTGTTTTCTGTGCTGTATAGTCCAACTTATTGTCTACAATTCCATTAAAATCTCCCATCATAACTATATTAACATAGTCCAGTTCAATTATTTTCATATGTAATTTTTTGTAGAATTCTTCTTGTTTATCATTCGGAGCATAGATTGCAATCAGGAGTGTTTTCGTATTATTGTCCATTATTTCCACCATTAGTATTCTTCCATCATCATCGGTATAAGTCAATTTTGCTGGGGTGGTCTCTTTAATATATAAAACCACTCCTCTTTTCTTACATTGGTCAAGGAAGTAAATATTTTTCCTAATTTTGGCTGTATCAACAATTGTTCATATTGTTTTTTAATATGTACTTGTAGACAAATTATATCAAATTTTAATTTCTCTAATTTATGAAAGGTTTTCCTTCTTTTAATGGCTGAGTTAAGTCCATTTATGTTAATTGTAATCAATTTTTTCTCTTCCATGGTTATATTTTGTAATTAAGTTTAGCAGTTCTCGTAGATCTTAGTTCACATTGTTCTTTGGCTTCCACCTTTCCACTTACTGCACCTTCTTCTTTTTCAGTCGCCATTTGGCAGTCCTCTTGGAATTCAGTTAGTGAAATCTCTTTTTCTGCCTCTTCCTCTTTCCCTCCAAAAAATTCTGTATAAAATAATTCCGCTTTCTCAATTGAGTCAATTCTATGTCTATGTTCTTGCCATGTGAACATTAAACCTTCTGGAATCAGCCATCTATAAATTACCTCTTTTTTAAGTAGCATTTTAGTCAGGAATTGGTATTCTCTTCTCATCTCTCTCACTCTTCTGGGTATTTGTTTCAAGACCACAATGTCCTTGTCTTTATATTTCAATGTTTTCTCTTTTGCCACTTGCAATATTTGCGTTTTAATGGCTTTCTTTGTAAATCTAATGTGAACTTCTCTTGGTAAGCTATTTCTCATTGCATATCTTGTTAAAACTCGATAAACCTCATCTATTCCATCCATAATCTTCTCTTGAGTTATTTCCAAAGCTTCAGCCAGTGTTTCTATCATTATCTCAGCAAAATTTTATCCTTTTTCTTCCTCTACATTTTGGAATCTAAGATAGAATTCTGATCTATCCATCTCCCATCTCAACATACCACTTTTATCTTGTTCAACCACAGTTAATCTGTTATCAATATCTCCAATCTTCTTGTCTCTTTATCTTCTTCTTCAATTTTTTGGAATCTCTCATCATCATCTCATGTTATGGCTCCCCCTTCAATGTTCAAACAACACAAAACCAAAAGCAGCCGTTCCAAAACTTAAGTCCAAAAGAAAGGAGTTTAACAAGATAACGACTGTCATCAATTATATACACGCCCTGTTCAGCAAAAACAGTTCTGGCACAAATTCTTAAAGCTCCGAGCCTCTGCTGTAAGCCTCGTCATGCAAACAGACACTTTGTTCCTGACAATCTTTCCCCACACAGCTGTGTCCTTTTATAGTCCTTGAGGCAACGTACTAATTATTGACTCGCCCTTCTCCTAACTAAGTTTGCCTCCGTAAAACACCTAGATGGGCGTGTCAATCTCCCTAAATCAACGTCTGGCTTGATGCCTCCCCACAGCTTGACGTTTTAGCCTCCTTCTAGTTCTGGCATCAAGCCACGATCTGTCCGTTTCTTCGCTCGATTCTTCTGACTCATGTTGTGCTTCAATTGCAGGCATGAATGAGTTCGAGGGTTCAGGCGAAGAATGTCTGTGTCATAACCTCTCATCCCCCTGGCTCACATCTGTGTCTTCTAACAATTCAGACTCCAAATTCTCAGCAGGCTCCAGCCTTTCATCCTCAGAGTCATCAGAATCAAAACTCACAGCAGGATCGATCCTTTCAGTCACAACACTTCAACATCATTTGTTGGATGTTCTCCACTTTTTCATCCCTGTTCTTTGTTCAATGTTCTCTGTTCTTTGTTTAATGTTCTCTGTTCTTTGTTCAATGTTCTCTATTCTCTTTTCAATATTCTCTGATCTTGCTTGAATATTTTGAATTCCTTGCATAATCATCCACAGAGTCACTTTTTCTTGTTCTTTTTCTTGCTTTAACATTGTCTGTATTGAACGTTGTCCTCCAGATGGTGGAGAGGAAGAAGTAGAAGTTGAAGAACCAGGAGCTGTAAATTTCCTACTCATTTTAAGCAATTTAAAATTTTCAGGTGCTTCTAAACCTTAATCCAATTGTGAAGTAACCAATTATAATTCAAAATAAAAATAGTAGAAAAAAGAAGGCCAATAATAATGATAAAAAAAAGGAAAAAAGGGGAGGACAAAATTTGTTCAGGTTCTTGTATACCTTAATCCAATCAATAGTTAGATGAAGAAAAAGGCTTGCAAAAGAAAAAAGAAAAAAGGAAAAGGAAAAATTCTTCAGGTTCTTCAACGCCTTAATCCAATTGAAAGAGTGCAGAATCAAAGAATCAAATAGAAAAGAGTGCATAAGAATAAACCAGAAAGGTACATGAGAAAACAAAAATACCAGGAAAGGGGGGAAAAAGGCTATTCCCTTAAAAAAAATTGATACTTAAAGGCTTTCCCTTTAAAATAAAAAGCAAACGTAGAGATTGGACTTCCAAAGAAAAAAAGAAAAACAAAGACAAGTTCCAACAAAGCCAAAAACCCAAATAGTTATTACAAGAAAAAAAAGATAAAATGAAATACAATAAAACTGGTGAGGAGGGATAGCACAACTTAGAAAAAGTAAAAAGAGCACACTACACTTTGTTTAATTATCCAAGGCTCTTATTATAGCTCTCTTCTCCAAAAACTTATCACCTTTTTTTCCCCTAGGTTTCAACACCAGACTCCAGATGTTGATAGAAACCCAGAAGAGCACCTCCAATAATACTCTCCCATGCTCTTCCCTCTATCTTATCAAATAGCAATGTCCTTGAAAAAGAGTCTCAGTTCTTTCTTTCTCAGCTTTGTCTGGTCACAGGGAAATAGAATATTTTCAAGCCTCCAGTTGGCAGCGTTACAAAGTTTCTTTGCACTCACTTTCCCCCTCCTTTTCCAAGCAAGATATAATAAGAATTAATAAAAAAAGAAAAAGATATTTTTAAAAAAAGAAATAACTAAAGGAAGCCTCTAGCCTAAAATATTACAAAATCAAAAAGGAGAAAAAAAATAGATGTAAAAGAAAAAACCAGTCCAGTTTCAAAATACAAGATCGTGTATAGAAAATCCAGCAATGAGGAAAAAAAACCATTACTTTGGCATTCCTGTTTAAAATCGACGTTTAATCACTCCTGTCAAAACTTTTACAGATTCTTTCTTTTCCTTAGGGTGTCCTTTCAGATCTTAGAATAAAGAAAAAGTTCTCACCAAACCAGCACTCTCTCTCTTTCTGTTCTCTTCCATTTCGGAGCTGTCCCAACTTCAGCAGCTTTAATGGCTGCCTCTTTGCCGCTGGCAAGAAGAGCTTCTCCTGGATCTACCAGGGACTTTGCAGTATCCCTGGGGTTGACAGGATGCACTCTTCACTTTCACCGTCTTTTCGGGATGGTTTAGATCTGACAGGACCGTCCAGGAGCAAAGATATCAGCAGCAATCTCAGACCTCCAAGATCGCATGCCGTATCTTCGGATGCCAGCTCTGCCCTCCTCCGGCAGTTTGAGCTTTCTGAGTTGGCGCAGAAAGAACATTCTTGTTGTGCTTTTTTGATGAAGTTTTTGATGTTAGGTGTCCATTTTGGTCTTGTGATATGATAGAACCTAGAAATTTGAAGGCCTCTACTGTTGATACTGTGTTGTCTAGTATTGGAAGAGGTAGTAGTATGGTAGGGTTTCTCCTAAAGTCTACCACCATTTATACTGTTTTGAGTGTGTTTAATTCCAGATTGTTCCGGTTACACCACGAGGCAAGTTGTACAACCTCCTGCCTATATGCGGATTTGTCATTGTCTCGAATGAGATGAATCACTGTGCGTCATCTGCAGACTTCAGTATTTTAACAGATGGATCATTTGAGATACAGTCATTAGTATAGGGAGAAGAGAAGTGAATAAAGCACACAGCCTTGGGTGGGGCCCATGCTAATTGTGATTCTGCCTAGCTTCACCTGCTGCTTCCTGTCTGTTAGGAAACTTATGATCCACTTACAAGTGTGTTCAGATACCACTAGTTGGTTTAATTTATTTAGAAGAGTGTCTGGAATGATGGTATTGAATGCTGAACTGAAATCTACAAAGAGGACCCTTGCATAGGTATTTGGAGATTCAAAGTATTGTAGGATATAGTGCAGAGCCATATTAACAGCATCATCTGTCGATCTATTTGCTCGGTATGCAAACTGCATGGGATCTAACAGCAGATCCATGATGGTTTTCAGGTGGGGCAGCACTAGCCTTTCAAAGATTTTCATAATTACAGATGTTAGAGCAACTGGTCTGTAGTCATTCAGTTCCTTGATGGAGTGCTTCTTTGGCACTGGGATGATAGTAGAGCATTTGAAGCAAGAAGGAACATAGTACATCTCTAGTGATTTATTGAAGATTTGGGTGAAGATGGGGACAATTGGTCAACACAGACTTTTAAGCAAGAAGGAGTTCTTGTCTGGCCCTAGTGCTTTTCCTGGCTTTTGTCTGTGAAATAGATCTTGCACTTCTTTTTCTGTGATCACCAAAGATTGTGAACCCAATGGATTGGGGTCAGTTGTAGGAGGTTTGGCTGTTGTTGGTATGCTTGAGATGGAGGTTGTGGAGAAAGGAGGCTGTAGTTTTCTTTCAAACCTGCAGTAAAACACATTCAGGTCATCTGCTAGTTTCCTTCTGCCTGGGAAGGAAGTTTGCTGTAGCTAGTGATGTTTTTAAGAGTTTTCCACGTTTGCTGGTTCATTTGTTGAGAACTGATTCCTTAACTTTTCAGAGTAGCTTCTTTTTGTTGCTCTAATCTCTTGTTAATATGTTTATATTGTATAGCATTCTGTCACCTTTCTGTAGGCTTCCTACAGAATATATAAGAAACCATATATTTATATTTTCAATGCAGCAATATCAGTCTTTTGGTTATAGTAAGGGTTCAGATAAATCCATTTATATTGTCTGAATGTCATTTTGTAAGTACTAGATGTGTAGATCAAAAGAATATTATCCTTTGAAAATTTTAGTTTTTCTCACACAATCATAGTTTTATAATCCACTACTTTCTCCCAAAACCCATATCAAACATTGTAAAAACATATTTTAAAGAAACATTATCCTAATTACAAGTTCAATAAAAATGTTTTTGACAATTCTTTTCTATACATAAATAAAATATATAAATTTATTTCTATAAATACTAAATATTATTTTTGTTAATAACTTAACTATATTGTTTATGTTGTTGTTGAGGAAAATGATGACACCTGCATATTTCTTTTGCATATCAACATTCTCATCTTTCTGATGTCATGTTAGAAAGGAAGCATGCATTTCATCCTAATGCAATTGGTAATGGAATAAATTTATATCCCCGACCTTCATTAAATAAGAGCTTAAGTTGAGTAAATGGTGTGCCTACACAAAACCCCACATCTGCTCCTCCAGACATTCACATGTCAAACAGAGATCTGAAGTCAATTGTACTCATATTTGTTTAACTCTGAGTAAAACTGACTCTGGAATCTAAAAGCCTGAAAGATAACTCAGAGGATACTTCCTGAAATTCACACACATCTAATTATAACTCTTCTTCAGGTGGATATGTGGGAGATTCGGAAGAGTAAGAGGTGTGTTGAGCCTGTGTTTCTCATTTTCTACCTGATTTAAGCCATTTGTGTAATCAGCTGAATGTATGAACAGGTGACAGTAACATCCAGGGGAGCTTTCTTAGGTGATAAGGATTAGACACATCATTCTCATTTATCAGATAGTTTATTGGTGCAGATAAAAGAGGGGCCACTTGGTGTTTTACTTTCTGTTTTGATTCTTCTGTCATTATGTATATTAAGAGCTAAGGCTGCAATAAGTAAAATTGTCCCCTAGAATGATAAGATGGACTGTTTTCTTAGCTGCATATAACTATTGCCTTATACACCGACCAGGCAAGACCATAACTCATGCAGATGCACTCAGCCATTGCCCCCTTCCAGAACCTATTGAAGACCTAGCTCCAGCCACATCCATATTCCTCATTGAAGACATCGCCACCGGCCCTATCACAGCATCAGAGATAGCCAAACACTCAGCCAAAAACAAAACTCTGGTGCATATTTTAAACTGGGTGTTGAGGGGATGGCTAGAAGAAGTGCTGGAAGGTGACTAAACCATTTAAAATTCAGCAAAATGAACTGTCGGTAATTAAAGGGTGTTTGTTGTGGGGGGATAGAGTTGTGATACCTGAGACACTGAAAGAACAAGTCTTAAGAATGTTGCATGAGGGCCATCCAGGGATAGTCAGAATGAAAGCATTAGCCAGAAGTTATACCTGGTGGCCGGGAATGGATAAGGAAATTGAAAAATGGATTGCAGTTTGTACACCTTGTCAGGAATCTAGACCCGCACCCGCTTCAGCACCAACCCTAGAATGGGAATCACCAAAAGCACCTTGGTCTAGAATACATATAGACCTGGCAGGGCCAATGCAGGGGCAAACATTTCTAATAACTGTTGATGCATATTCAGAGTGGGTGGAAGTAATGATCATGAAAACCACCACAGCAGATGCTGTGATTAAGGTAGTGAGGAAATTGTTTGCCACACATGGTTTACCAGATGTTGTGGTATCGGATAATGGGCCCCAATTCACAGCAAATGATTTTGAATGTTTCCTAGCTGAACAGGGAATCCACCACGCATTATCAGCACCTGGACATGCCCAGAATAATGGGCAGGCAGAGAGAGCTGTAAGATCCATGAAGAAAACCTTAGCAAAAATGGGACCAGGGGATTGGCAAATGAAAATAGACAAATTCTTAATGATACAACATATCACAACTTCGGCCACCACACACAGAAGTCCAGCAGAACTTTTAATGGGGCAGAAGTTAAGATCAGAGCTAGATAGATTACACCCACACTACAATCCAAGCACACCCACAGATCCAACGAGTAAATGCAGACATTTGAACATAGGTCAATCGGTTTATTCTCACAACTATGCAGGGGGCCTCCATGAGTCCCTGCATGAGTAGTGCAAGTCACAGGCCCCCGATCTTATAGAGTAGAACTAGAAGATGGGAAAATATGGAGCAGACACATAGACCAACTCAGGGGACGATTGGAACAGAATCTGAACGACCAGAAAACCTCAGAAACAGAAACACAACATAGAGAGATAAGACCAACCCAAACAACTACAAATACTGAAAACACAAGCCTCCCCACTCTAGGGTGGGACTCAAACTCAAGTACACTGCAGGATAACTTAGCTGAAGGGGGAGAAATCCAGCAAAGAAACTCAGAGCCCTCTGTTACATCGGAGCCAGCCCCACCCCTGAAAAACCCCGAGGCTGGCTCTGGAGTGACAACAGACCCAACTAGTCAGGTTGCCACTGCTGGTGGGGTTGAACTGCGAGGGTCCAGTCACACACACAGGAGTCCCTCCTACTTACATGATTATGTCTGTGAGTGAGAGCTGATCGGATGAATGTGTCTTCCAGGAGGGGAGAAGTGTTAGATATTCAATGGGGAAAAATGATGTCAGACTTCCCTCATTGGTTCATTTTCCAGGCGGGAAAATGAACAGCCATCAGTGGCTGAAATTGTGGACAGCAGCCTGTAAAAAGAACAGCAGGCACACGGGACGGCAGTCTTTTGTTCAGAGCTAAATAAAGAAATCCTTTCCTTCTACCGTTGTCCTGCCTCTTCAATCTAGCCCAAATCTAACAGTAAGCTTTTATGGTACCTAGCTTCAGTGTGTCATCTTCAGTGTATTTCAAATATTCTTCCAATCTCCTTTTTCTTCCTTAAAGTATACTAGCAATATTCCACACACGAATATTTTCCTTGGTAAGTAGAGTCTGTTATGTTGCATGGATGAAAGCATGATTCATTGTCATTACGTTGTTTTTTGACTTTCCTATCCAGGAAAATCCCATAGCTGTGCCCAGATCTTCACTGTTTTTTCTTTGTCAGGTGTTAACTGGTTCACTGCAATCTCTCCAATAGATGGATTGATTGCAATATTTTTGATACAACTGAAAATGAAGATTCTACCTATAGTGTGCAATTTGAGTTTTGCCTCTGTTTATCTTCTTAGCTATATTATTTGCTGCTTTATTATTTCTAATGCTTAATTGATCTTCTTTGTTTCTAACTAATAATCCTTGATCAGGTACTTTTTGGTCTTCTTATCCTTTAGCTTTTTCCCCTTATATCTGCTTGTATCTAATTCTAGCAGGATGATCTTATTTTCCAATATGAACTTCCATTTTGGGGGTTCACAGTTTGACTTTTTTTCTAACTTTTGATTTTGCCTCTGTGTTATTCTATTGTAATTGTAGTTGTGCTCTATCAATTGATGTGTCTGTTGCAGTGAGGTGGTGCTTATCTTTGATATTGCACATCCTTTCCATCAGCCAACACTCAGATAAGCAGGGATTACCACCAGGCAAACAATGAAACAAGCAGAAAACAATACTTTAATCAATAAATTACCAAGGAGAAAACCATACCCCAACAAGGGGTATGGGAAAGCTGTGGTATATAAGTAGGGAGCAATCTCATACATTCTACAGATGTTATAATTGGTTATTAAAATGTCTGCAAGCAAACAACCAAGCTCATACAGTACCAAGGATTTCACAGGAATTCTGACTGTAATTCAAAGTACAGCAAATATTCAAGATACATATCTTCTCATAAATCACAGCCAATGGGATTTTTCTAAATCTGCTTGAAGTAGCCACTGCTGGTAGGGATCTTAGAAAATGTGGTTAGTTGATTCATGCATTAAAGAGAGGACCACTGGGAAATATATTTTTCAACTTTCTCAAAGCCAAAAAATCTTCTAAATGTGCCCTAAAGGAAATTATAGTATTTTGAAGCCTTAAAAATAATCCAAGTACTCTATGATTATTTATCATAACTGTTCTGTTGTCAAAGTAACATTTGAAAAAGACTTTGCTTTCTTAAAAAATATAGAAATATCCCCTAAAAAACAAACAAACAAACAAACAAAAAAGCTATTTATAGAGCAATATATGATACCATCTTGTCTGCCGATAGGGCTGTTGTATCTATCTACAGTCTACTTTGGTAGTCAGCCAATGTATAATTAGTAATCCATTAAATACAACATAACCTGAGATTAATGTATGTAGTTAAATTAATTTCTATTCAGATGTTCTTATTCAATTTTGTACTTGTTAGCAACCTCATACAATTTAAAAGCTTTTGTAAATAAAGAGTGAAAGATGAAAACTTTGCAGAAGTATCTAGGATACTTGATTACTAATAAATCCATTTTTTAAAAAAATGTCAATGTGAACTTCCTCACCTTTTTGGGAGCTGTAATGTTTCCGTACATACATAAATATATCACATTATTCCTTTGAAGGATGAACAACATTATGCAATCCTCTATGAAAAATAGTACAAAATAGCAGAGAGAACTAAAGACATGAAAATATAATGGAACCGTAACTATATCTAAGGTAGTTTAAATCAATTCTATATAACGTACATTTCTATATTCCAGAATTGTGATAGAATTGGGTAGCCTATAAATTTCATAAATAAATGACATATATCTTTCTACCATTCTATTTGTCTACAAATCACTTTATCCATTGCCTTTTGTTCTTTAAACATCTCACTTCTCTTTTTGAGGATCTTGTCAGTTCTATCCAGCTACAATTTTCTCACTATTCCCATTTGTCTCAACCCATTCATTCCTCCATATATTTGTTTTCAGATTCAATCATTTATTTTCTCAGTACAGTCAATATGTACTTCTTTTGCACCAGCCACTCTCTTTTATATTTTAATCCACATTTATCCAACTATCATTCATTCTTGATGTTACCTCATTTTATTTTCTACATTTCTTAAGTAACCCATTGTTGCTGCTTTAAGCTTAGCTTTTATATTTCTCCCAGTGTAAACTGGAGTCAGTTTGGTGTACTGATTAAGGCATCAGGCTAGAAACTAGGAACTTTGATTTCTAGTTCCACTTAGGCACAAAACTGTGTGACTATGGGCCAGTTAATCTTTCTCAGCTCTAGGGAGTAGCAAACTTTTATTTTTATAAAACTTTTTAAAATTTGGACTTTTATTCATTGATTTTTAGATTCTTTCTTTTCACTGCACCTTATAATCTGATATTTGCTCCAAGTCATATTAGATCTCTGCTGGTATGATAGTATCTGTATACAAAAACTTCTAACAGAAAACTCACCTCTAACATTATCCTAATTATGGCTCCATAAACATTTGTCCATTAATATTACAAAACCAATATATTTTTACTCCTGTGCAATACATAACTATTCACTAAGCATTCCATTTATTCTCAAGTTCATTTTACTTTCATCATATACTACATTTTCACATCTAAATTTCTGAACAAAAATGTACAAAAAGTGGGCCAGCATTTAAAAATGTTTTTTGCTATAATAACTATTTCATGTAACATCATTTAGTTATTTGTGGTTATATTGTAACATTATACCTCCTGTTACTCTAACCTGGTTTGACTTTGACCAGGTTCCATCCTTTTTTAAAGCTGTTATTTCTGCCTTTAATTTAGAAAGCACCCAAAGAGTTAAGAAATAAATTCAACTGGTAAAATTCTCTATTAATTATAATCAGACTAAGTGTTTAGGATAAGGTATTCTTGATTTGCACTTACTGCAGCAGCTGAGGATTTCCCTCAAGGGAAATGGATTCAGTTGACTCTGCCAGGATTTTCAGCCTTTCCTGTGTTGTGCAAAAATTACACAAGGTTGGGAGAGGTTGACATCAGCAAAATTACATTTCTTGCATTGATAAGAGTGAGAGTACCTCTTAGGAATGCCAAAGACAAAATGCAGGTTTATCTCCCAATTGACAATAACATCACAAAAGGGGCTGTAATGCCTGGCTACATAATGTGAAAGAGCAGGCTGCCTGAACAAAATTGAAGGCACCTGTCCTGTCTTCTCTCCCTCCTATCGGAGCCTTTCCCTGAAATGTCAGCTTGGCCCAGATGCCAATAAAGTGGCGATTTTGATATAGGGGATGGAAGGAGATGTGGGTTTTGAAGCTTTGCAGCCACCAGGAAAGTATAGCAGCCAAAGTGTACCCAGAAGAGGTGAATGCTCCAAAAGAGAAAAAACGAGGCGTAGAAGCCCGGCAAGACAACGCACAATATATTTATTAAATGTATATGCTGCTACAGGGATCTGTATAAAAGGCACCATATGAAAGGCAGAAGAGCTGTATGTTAGGTATAACATTGATACCCAACAAGGTTTGGGTAGATAAATATATAAACTAAGGTATCATAGTTTAAGTGTTTGTAACTTTAAGCACCACACTGCATGTAATTAGCCAATTAAGGGTGCGGTTAGAAACTGCAATAAGAGGAAGCAGGAGAAAGCTTGCTACTGAGACTGCCTATTGCCTACTGCCTACTGTTTTACTGTTTACCGTTTGCTGTTTACTGCTGGATACAACTGTTTACTACTATTTTACTGCAACTGTCTACTGTTTGATCGTTCTACTAAATATCCAGCGTTATCCTCTGGAGAAAGGCATCGGAGGAGGAGAAGATATCTTTATTGGCTGATAAAGATATAGTAAGGACTATTATCTGGACTGAGTTAGTGA